GTGGGGGGGCAGGAGGTGAGGGGGCAGAGCCAGCACTAGCAGCCCCCCTGCTCCTTGCCGGTCCTGGGACTGGGGACAGTGTGCGTGATCAGTGTACTTTGGACTGAAAATTAACGCCTTTTCAAATAATTTACCATAACCAGGACAGGGGAGGAAAGTTTAAAACAAGTCCTGGTGCAGGCAGTTTCCCTGTAATTCTCTGTAAAAATGTTTAAAACTAGAAACTAAGCACTGGAAAGGAAGAGATGTGTAAAACATTTAGGGAAAGAACAGAGTTTCTTAAACGGCTTGAGCGAGAGGGAGAGGGAGGCGGCTCTTATTTAGGAAGCCTCCTGAAGGGGGGCGGCCGCCCGCCTGCGCAGCGGGATTGTTCACTAGACACAGTGCTGCCCCGCGCCCGTCAGTCCAGGTGCAGCTGGGGGAGCTGTCAGCGTTGACCGCCAGCGCTGGACGGGCAGGTCGCGATTTCCCGAGCAGACCTGGGTTCGGACCGACGGCTCAGGCTCTGTCTGTTTGGTTCGTGCACACAGGGCATTGTCAGCAGTAGCCCAGTTCCTCTCGAATTCCACTTAGGAAATCCGCATTTAAGACCTTTCCACAAACGTGCTGTTCTTTATGAAATAGTACAATTCCTCAGCCACTTCGGCCCAAATAGAAAAATATACTCAGGAAGAAGTCTGATTATAGTCAAATATTTAAACAGGACACGGGTGCCTCCTGGTTTCTTGGTGCAAAATTAAATCCCCGGGCTATCAGTCATCCATATACTGGTAAATGTGATATTTTGTTTTTCAGATCACAGCTCTTAAAATTAAATACAACCCATTTGCGAAAGCGTTCCTTGATGCGAAGGAGAGGTGAGAGAATCCCGAGTGTCCCTTTTGGGCAGAGAGATGAAATATATATAGTTGCAGATACTATTTCCGGAACGCTCTCCTTTCTGACCGTTCAACACACGTTTTTGACAGAAGCGACCATAAGGATATGATGGAAGACCCTGGAGACGGCCAGCAGTCTGGGTTCTCCCAATGTACGGTTGGCTGCTCTCTGCCCTGTGCACCTTGTTTCGGGACCAGGGTGCTGAGTGCGAGGAGCTGGGGCTGGGGCTGGGGCGCACTCAGGATTCTGGGTGGGGTTGGGGGCAGACTCACCCTTTGCTGTGCGAGGCTCAGGGCCCTATGATGCTGAATGTCTCCAACCTCTACCTGGGGCCTGTGAGTGCTCCCCCAGCCCGAGGCACCCTTCACCCAGCCCGTGGGACCCTTCACAGAGACGCCTGGGCGGAGTGTGCCTGGGCTTCCGTTTTGCTCCCAGGCAGCTCCAGCCGGGCTGGGACAGGGCGCCGGGACCTTGGTGGGCCTTTGGATTCTGCTGTGCTGGGCGGGAGGAGAGCCCAGCTCTTCATATCCACTTGGGGATGGTTTGTACCTTTGTGATTGATTGAAAACTGAAGGAGCATCTTTGGAGCGATGCTTAGGGACAAATGTGGTTTTTCGCTTAGTGACTTCAGTTGTGGGAAGGGCAGGTTCACACACCGGGGTTGGGTGGACAAAGTCTGCTTTAAGGGAAGCTTCCTGGGGAGGCTCCGAGCCCGAGGAAGGGGCCCCGGCCTAGAGAGAGCTTTGTCCAGCTCTGTTCACACCGGGAGGGGACTCGGGCGTGTGAATGATGGACATCTGCAGGGAGAGACGTTAGTGTGCGCGGGTCCTCAGGAGGCTGCGTGGACCAGCACACTCTCCCCATGTGCTCTGTGCTGGTTTCCTTCCTTAAAAATTATCTTCTGGCCGGTTGAACAGTCAGCTCTGCTAAGGTGGCCCGTGGGTCCCGGGGGGTGGCAGGTGAACGGCTCACCTGAGGGGCCAGGCGATGGGCCCGTGCTGGTGGGTGCGTCTGCACCCTCATTACCTGTTGTCTGAAGAGTCATTTGTGGTTTGGAAATTGGAGTCAGAGTAGTTGTCCCCTAGAGGTGGCTTTTCTGAATTAGAACAAAAGCAAATACAAAAAAGTTATTTTAAAAAAACCAAAGAATGGAGAAGACACCGTAGTTTTAGAGGAGGGCGTATTGGGGTGATTTTCTGTGAGCCTGAAACCCAAAAAAGTGAACAGGAAACGGTGCCCCAAGGCGAGGCCGGCGGCTCCTCCGTGTGACTGGGGGTGGTGGCAGCCGGCAGATGGGGAGACGCAGGGACACCCCCTGCATGGCCGTCCCTGTGTGTTGAGCAAGCCTGGCTCTGAATTTTGTGTTTGTACATTCTGTTCACGTTCAGCCGTTAGGGCCCGAGGCTGCCGGCCTGGGGGAGCAGAGGGTCCAGTGAGAAGAGTCTGTAAGAGGTCGGGGGGAGGGGGGCCCTCGAGTGGTTGCAGATGCCCAGGGGTTGGCTGAGGCATTGGTCTCCCAGGTTTTCTCAGGTGCCAGTGGGTTTGGAAACCTTGGTCCCCCTGTGGCCTCTAGCGCAGAGCTGTTGCCACGATGCCCTAAGACTTGGGCTGGACACTTGCTGTGACACCGTGAACCCCAGTTCGTCAGGGACTCCGGGCAAAAGACCCACAATTCCCTGGGCTCAGCTCCCCTGTCCTATAATAACGGATGTGACCAAGTGCCAGTTACTCAGCATTCTTTCCTCACAGCAGGGGGGTGGCTCATTCCCGGAACCAGCACACTGTGCCCCCCGGCCACCCCCCACCCTCAGTTTGGAGGCCCCCTGTCACTTCCCTCCACGCACGGCTGCGAAAGGTACCCGGCCCTGAGGAGCCACCGCCCATCCCCCTACCCCAGCCCCTACGCGCATCGGAACAATTCTGCAAGTAAGTCTAG